CGGGTTTCCCGGCTGAACAGTGGGAGGAGAAGCAGCCGCGGCGGCCGACCCGGCCCGGCCCCGTGCTCGAGCCTTGGTCCCAGGGCCCGGTGGTGACGGGCTGGTGCCGGCGCCGAAGCGGGCCCGTGTGGGCGGCGCGGGGGCACCCCGGCCCGTCGCATCTCGGCCGAGGGGACCGCGCTCATGTGGGACAAAGTAAAAGGTCTCCCCCCTCCCCCAGCTCTGTTTTTTGGGTGCCCCCCCCGGGGTGTGGGGAGTAGTCTTGTCTTCTCTCACGTTGATACGGTGTAATCAGGAGGTGCTTTGGGTGGGAAGAAAAGACAGCTGCTGCCCAAGTAAGTGGAACTGGACATTTGCAGGTACCTGGCTGATGAGCAAACCTGGAGGTAGAGTTAAGAGCACTTGTCAGCAGCTTATCAACCCACAACCAGACTGGCTCTTTACTAGGATGTTGTTCCTAGAAGTTGACTGTGCGAGTTCTCCTGACAAACCTGCGCTGATTTGGTAGTGTCAGAGTGACACTGTAACTATGATGGTACCAGGAAATATGCGAGGCAACCATCTTTGTGAGTGATATATTTCTTGGACCAATTGCATAGCTGGGATAGACTTAGACAAGCTTTTGAAGAAGCTTCCAAAAGGTAATCTGAAGAAGAATGCATTGCATTTGAAATCCTGTTTCAGTCCATCCCAGCCATGCAGTTGGTCCAGTGAAAGATGTCGCCCACAAAAATCCTTACTTCCGATTTAGTTTTTTCACGGCAAATAGGATCATAGGACAGTAGGGCTGGGAGGAACAGATGCATCCGGCCCTGGATGTGTGTTATAGCCCTGTGCTCAAGACAGACTTGTCCCTCCCAGCCAAGTGTCTGTCCAACCTGCTCTTGAATGTTTTCAAGGATGGCAGTTCCCCAGCTTCTCTCAGCAGCCTGTTTCAATGCTTGACCACCCTCAGTCAGAAAATTCCTCTTACTCTCCAACCTAAATTTCCTCTACTGCAGCTTAAGGCCATTGCTCCTAGTCCTGTCTCCTATGGCCATAGAGAAAAACCCATTTCCATTCCCTCTATACTTGTCCTTCCAGTATTTGAAGATTGTTATTAAATTCCCCCTCAGTCCTGTCTTTTCCAAACTAAGTAACACTAGCTGTTTCAGTCTTTCCTCAGAAATTATGCTTCTCTCATCATTTTTTCTTGCTGTGTGAGGCCCAAAACTGGACACAGTACTCCAAGTGAGGACTCGCCAGTGCTGAGCAAAGCGGAAGAATCACTTCCCTCAATTTGCAAGCAACTCTCCTGCTAATCCAGCCTGCCATTGTTTTGGAGGTTTGGAGGTTTTTTGGCACAAGAGTACACTGTTGGCTTATATTCAGTTTATGGTCTACTATAACTCCCAGATCCTTCTCTGTACTGCTGCAGCCTTGCCAGTCATTCCCCAATTTGTATTTGTATGTGCAGATACTTTGCACTTGTCCATGTTGAATCTCATCTAATTGATTGTGGACCATTTCTCCGGTCATTCTGGATCCTAGCTCTTTCCTCCATAGTGTCTGCAACTCCACTCAACTTGGAGTCATCCACGCATTTGCCAAGTTTGTATTCAATCCCATTATCCAAATCATTAATGTAGCTGTTGAACAGTACTGGATACCTCCTCCCAACTAAACATTGAGCCATTGAACATCGCTCATTGGTATGAGTCTGCTTAACTCACAGCGAGACGACAGCAATTTTCGCAGCTTGGTCGTGCCACAAAGAACCAGTTTTGTGGCCATTTCCCTGCGGCCCCGCCCCTGCCACTTATTGACATAGAGGTATATACTGAATAATAGCAAATTCCATTAAAATAAATTATATAATAGATTTATAACAACATTATCAAAATATTAAATTAAAAGCTCAATTTAAATATATCATAAATATAAATGTATATACAATATGAATTTGAACTATCATAATTTATTATTATACGTAGCATTCTACAAAAAGTAGAAACACTAATTTATACTCACCTTAATAGAAACAATCATTTTAGTTGTTAAATGCTAGCATGCAGCATTTACCAGCAGT